AGGGTGCCGGGCTCGGGGGGCTCGGTGCAAGGTGCAGGGTGCTGGGGCCTGGGGCGCTCAGCCCCGTGTGCAGGGTGCAGGGTGCAGGGTGCCAGGTCAGGGGTACTCGGAGCAGGGTGCAAGGTGCTGGGGCCTGGGGTGCTTGACCCTGCATGCAGGGTGCAGGGTGTGGGATGCAGGGTGCTGGGCCTGGGGTGCATGCCTGTGTGCAGGGTGCTGGGGTGCAGGGTGCCAGGCCTGGGGTGCTCAGCCCTGTGTGCAGGGTGCAGGGTGCCAGGCCCTGTGTGCAGGGTGCAGGGTGCTGGGGCCTGGGGCGCTCAGACCAGGGTGCAGGGTGAAGGGTGCAGGGTGCCGGGCCTGGGGTGCTCAGTCCTGTGTGCAGGGTGCAGGGCTGGAGGGAGTATTTTTCTGCAGAGCAATGCCGACTCATGCCGTATCGAGTGATGCCTCTCACCTTGTCTCCCTCCTTGCCGAAGCTCTAGTCCCTTGTTCTCAGGGAGAAATACAGGATGTAGAGACCACGTTGTCTGCCCTGTTCTTCTCTAGAGCTGCAGGAAGCATCGGTGGAAGAGGCCTATTTGTAACTGAGCAGGAGAGCGTATTCCTTGCCAAAACTACGCCAGTCCTTAATCAAGTCTGTAGCTTTTAGGCTGGAACTCACAAGAGCTTCAAGTCTTTTTGTCACTTTCAGGATTGAATAGTGCAGGGAATGTTTTAAATTGTTTTTTTTTTTTTCTCCTTTATGTGAAATGTTCAGATGCAATTTTATTTTGATCCCCACTCAGTTTTGAGCCTGATTACATTTACAGAGTACTTTGTGTAACTTTTTGATCTCAGGCTTAAAACCTCTGAAGTAGTTTTAGTATAACCTAAGGTGCTTTAAAATGGCCCTAAATTTAAAACCATTTAAATAATAAAATACATTTTTAAAAATGTTTTCTCAGAGCATTATGGCAAATTTCCTTAACTGCAAGTTTACATTGCAACAACAAATAAAAATACACTATGGCTAGAGTGAATGTAGGAATACTTATTTTAATACTTATTTTCTGTTTACTCTGACAAATGAACCCTTATTAAGTGTCCTCTTTTAATAACTGTACTCTCTATAGTTACCCTCCCTGTCATGACTATATCATAAGATCAAGTAATTCCACAACTTCTGAAAATGTAAGGTCAGGAAATCTTTTTCTTAAGAAAATCTGCGTATGATGGAAAAGGAACGAAAAAAAAAAAAAATCCCTGTCATGATGGGAACCCAAAGAGAGCTGACACAGGAAATGCTGAGGCTGCTCCTCGTGGTGTTGACTCAGGCCCCTGCTGTCTCTGTCTGCCTGTTGCTGGGGGGTGGTTGGGGTATCGGGACTGTGTCCGGTGGGGCTGCGGTTGCAGGCTCGGGGGCTCTGGGGATGGGGAGGGGAAGAGCGAGTCTGCAGGTGCAACTAAGAAATGACTTGTGTTTCTTTAACTGCACAGAGCCTGGATTCTGCCCTGGAGACTGAGATGTATCCCAGGATGAAAAAGCTGGCGCTCTACACCTTTTCAATCGCGCTGCTGGCATGTTTCTTTTACGTGAAGAAAGATATTACCTTGGCAGCGTTGTCAGGAGACCAGGGAGTGGATGTAGCAAATCTCAAGCCTAAGTCTTTGGTTCTGGACCATGTTGCACCCAGCAGGTGTTCGCCCAACCTGACCCTTGCCAATTCTTCTCTCACCCTCCCAGAGCTTCACCGCATCTTTTTAACATACAAGCACTGCCGGATCTTCTCCACGCTGCTGAAGCCCTCTAGGTGTAGCAAAGAGACGTTCCTGTTGCTGGCCATCAAGTCTGCCCCCATCAACATAGACCGGCGGGTGGCCATCAGGAACACATGGGGGAAGGAGGTCTCTATTGGCAGCAAACACGTCCGGGTGGTATTCCTTCTGGGGCGCTCAGAGGCCAGAATCCACGTGCACCCTCTGCACCAGCTGCTGGCTTACGAGAGCCGAGAGTTTGATGACATTGTGCAATGGGATTTCATTGACAACTTCTTCAACTTGACCCTCAAGGAGCTGCACTTCCTCCGCTGGTTCATGGAGGACTGCCTGCATGCCCACTTTGTGCTCAAGGGTGATGACGATGTCTTTGTCAACACTTACAACATTGTTGAGTTCCTCCGAGAACTGAACCCCGAACAGGATCTCTTTGTTGGGGATGTGATCACCAAGGCCCGGCCCATCAGAAACACCAAGGTCAAATACTTTATTCCAGAGTCCATGTACGGAGACCCCTACTATCCTCTATATGCGGGTGGGGGCGGCTACGTGATGTCTAGAGAGACGGTGCGCCGCCTCCAGAGCACAGCAGAGGACATGGAGCTCTTCCCAATAGATGATGTCTTTGTGGGAATGTGTCTGGCAAAGATGGCCGTGACCCCGAAGAACCACGCTGGCTTTAAGACCTTTGGGATCCAGAGACCTTTTAATCCTTTTGATCCGTGCTTGTACAAAGAGCTGATGATCGTGCACAAATTAAACCCCACTGAGATGTGGATCATGTGGACGCTGGTCAAGGATGACAGCATTAGGTGTGCAGTATCAGTAACGCACCCCTAGAGAAGTGGCTCCAAACGAGGCCACTGGTGAGCACCGGGGAGCGTTGACTGGTGACGAATACAGGGTACTTAAACTAAAAATCTGGTTGTGGTAGAAACACGTCCTCTACTAACAGACTGCACTTGAGCCATAGGGTTTTGTTTTGCAATAAGCCCTTCTCTGTCAGGGGGTTACTGAAGCGGTTGAATTGTCACAGGGCGGGGATAGGACAGGACCAGGAGCTCATAGACATGGTTAGGCACAGTACCGGGACCTCTTTGCTCAGTTCCTCGCAGGCAGCTGGAGCCGGGGGAAGTCACAACTGCCTCATAGCTAGTCACAGGTGAAGGGAGCGAGGTGCCACCTCCGAGGGAGGTCCTGCAGCACTGAGGCTGGTGCTGACCTGCCAGGCTCCTGGAGGAAAGCAGGTGCTGATTAATGAGTGACAGAGCACTTGAAATTACCTCTGACCCTTTGAAGTCAAGGGCAACAGTGGAAGAAAGACCAGTGCGTGCTGCTGGGTCCATTGTCCCTGGCTAGAAAACTGGCAGGTCCTACTGGGGAGCAGGAGAAAGGGAATGGCATGGGGAAACAAATGCCTCCGAAACTTAATGCCTTAGCACAGCAGGGTGATCCAAGGGCTTGGATGCCGATGTGAGCTCTCTGGATTGTACAGAAGGCTATTACACATATACTTGCACTGGAAACTTCCGCACAAACACACTTTCTGATTGGTTTGAGAGGAGAAGTATGTCTCAAACAATCATGGTGTTAATTACAATCATAGTGGCTGCAGCTTTTTGTATTGTGTGGGCTGTGTTGGATGTTTTCTCTAGCTCTTTTTTTTTTTTTTTTTTTTTTAAATTTTTGTAGTGTTGGGTTTAAATAAAATAGAGTTTTGAAAGTGTTTGCATAGGAGTATTCTTGGTCTCCTGAAAGCTAAGAGATCTTAAAGCCAGAGAAACTAAAATCTGGTGCTGGGTACATGCATTAAGGAGTTGTTGCTATTACAGAGAATAAAGTTACGTGGAAATGGAAACTTGCCACTTTTGCTATGAGCAGCTGCCCTTCTCTGCCCCCATCCAGGCAGGAAGTACTAATACAAAGGAGAAGTTAAGCTTGCTTGTGGAGTTGTAGATTTGCAGAAATATCAAAGGTGAAGCCAAGGCTTGCTCATGCTTTTTATGAAGCTTCTCAGCTTCAGAGTTGTCTCAGCACTAGATCAGAAGGCGGCTGCTGTGCTGTGTGTGAGTGGAAAGCGGCCAGGAAGCTTTAGTAAAATTTGGGTCGAAAGGAAGTTTCTGATTACAGAACTCAGAGCCTACCTGTGTTGTGCTGCTGTCGTTGCTGTCTCTTGTACCAGCTGTCCAACGTTCCCTGCCCACCAGACGTGAGCTGGAGCTTTCAGATGCCTGTGAAATGCTTCCAGGAACTGCCAATTTGCACTCCTTGGAGAGAGCGAGGGTATCCTTCTCTTAGGCCAGAGATCTGACAAGCTCCTTCAGGAGGCTGGCTGGCTGCCTTGCCTTCCAGCACGGTGATGCAGTACTGTACTACCTCCAGCTGCGGGATTCCTGGCAATAGTTCGTCCATGGTTCGATCACATGCCTTTCCTTCAGCATCGCGGCTCTGCCTAGTTTTATTACACTGGTGGTGCAACTTCACTTGTGGGCTCGGCTTTGTAAGGCGCTAGGCGCTGTTCTAATTTAGCCCTGCCGCATGACACACAATCTTGCGGTTGGAGTTGCAACCCTCATGTGAGCTGTTTGTGCCAGACATGAGTAGGTGTTTGTCTGAAAAAATTGTTCTTCCAAGGTGAGCCTCTGTGTGTCCATCTGCAGTGTGGTCTTTGTACGAGCTGCTACTGCAGCTTCTCACTGATTATCACTGCAGCTCTAACAGTAAGTAATGTAGGAATTAGCTGTATCTGAGGAATTGTCTATGTCATTTCAAATGTATTCAATGTTGGATTTGTAAACAAGCATGATGTCAGGCAGCAAAACCTAGTGACTTCCACTCTCTGGGCACTGCTGCTAGTTCTAGAGAAGAGACTGGACAGAGCAGTCCAGCAGTCTCTGGTACCATGTGAACTGCCATGGTAGCATTTTTCTGTTCCACGAGATGATTCCAAATGCAAACTCAGTAACATAATGTAGAGAGTGATGCTCATGGCTGTTCTGGCCTTAGGTGTATTGGTTAATCACTGATATTTCTTAATAAAGGTGTAGGGCCCTTTTCCACTGTTTTGGAGGTGAGACAGAGCCATTTATGCGCCTTACTCCCTTTTTGCCTTGACTGAACTGACTTGTTTTCTCTGTCAGATCTGAAGGTCAGTTTTGTGCGGGTACAGCCTTCATCTTAGGTAGTAAGAGAAGGGCATACAGTGAAATAGAGAAGTGGGGACGTGCGGGGGAGTCCTGAAAGGGAGAGTATGGACTGCTTTCCAAAGCCCTGTATCAGGGCTCATCTGTCTTAAGCAGTACCTCTGCCCTGTAAGCATCTGTGTAAAGAGTTATCGTGGCACGTTGACAGCAACACAAGCTGTGTGCGCGCGCATGCATTTTGGTAAGTGGCTTGACAGAAGTTCTTAAATTGCAGCATGTAACACATTAGAGCAGATGCTATTAGAGGCTGACCTGAAGTTGCATTTGGCTCTGAGGGAGTGGTTGTGCCACTGCCGCAAATACTAGCAGGTTCTCCTAACGTTCCAGCCCAAAGCCGTGTTTGGGGCCCCCTGACTACTGGCACAGCAGACATTGGTATCTTCCTACGTGCTTCGATTCCAGACTCTGCTACCTCATCGAATAAGGCCTCTAGTGAGGAGCAGAAGCAAGGGAAGTTTGTTCCTTTTTACTTTAGCATGATAGCTACAAACTTCACAAAGTACTGAAAAACTGAACTCACTTTAAAGCCTATTTTTAACCTTTAAGTGTACAGTGCTGTAGAGCTGGGACTGCATTTGTTCAAACGGCAGGCAAAATGAGAAAAAGATAAAGGCTCATGTTACAGCTGAAAAGAATTTCTAGTTTAGCACAAAGCACAGTCTAGTTACAGTAACCTCAGCACAGATGTAGTGCATCACAAATGCTAATTTGCCTTGAAAAACATTATTAATGCATTAGTGTTTTCCTACGAACCTGATGAATGGGGATTAACTGACTTTTAAAAACTCATCAGTGGTAAAGTTCCAATGGATGCTCTTCTACAAAACAATCTCAGCTTAAGCTGATATTGTCTGTACAACTAATACTGCAAACTTCTCATTAAGCTCTCAAATAAGAAAGTGAAAATAGTGAGACACCCGTGGTTTTGAAGCCTGCAGTGAAACATTAAGCTTACAAAAAGAAAGAATTAAGATTGTTTTCCTGAAACTTGGGCTGGAAAGAATTCAAATATGTAAAACTCATTTTTGTTTAGTGCTTTGTGAAGAAGTCTGCAGCAGTGCCGTAATTACTTTGTTTATAATCACAGTATCTTTAAAATCAAAGCTCCTTTTCTTCCTGCAGAAGGCAGCTTTATAGCTGCATAGCTTCTAGTATTAGAAGAAGTGACTTCTTAGTGCAGGAGGCTACTGTACTGAAGTGCAAAACTTCAATAAGAAAAGCTCAGGTAAAGCCACAGAATGTTTTCAGCTCTACAGCAGATGTTTCCTCTCATTGTGATTATATGTAATTAGACATAGCTGTCAGAGGAAGCTGCCTTACAAACTTTCGAGAGTCCAAACAGAAAATAGCACTTAATCTCTTATCCAAATGGGCACACGCACAATAAGATGTATTTGCAGAGTTTATTAAAGGTATCTACTAACAGACATAATTTACTTCACAAGTTAAAAACAAAAAAGACTTTTAAATACACTTCTTTGGCTGATATTCTGTTTATCTCCAAGTTAGAGAGCTCTCAGAAACATATCAAACCATTTGCAGGATCCTCCTAGCAGAGAAACACTTACTAACAAGCTATCTTTGACAGCCATTTTCACATTTGCATAGTTAAACACTTAACTGAATTCAGAAGCATTATAAACATGATAGGTTACAAACAAGAACGGGGCCTTTCAGATACTTGGAATTGACTCGATTTGTAAAGCAAGCCTCTTTGGAAGAACAAAAATGGAATCACAGGCTTATTTCAGCACTATTTCCCCACTATCCAACACTTAAGTTTGGGACCATTTAATTACTGTAAGGTGACCCTTAAGTTCTTCTCAGTCTTCCCGAAGATAAGGGTCCTCACCTGCCTCTGTACTTCCTAAAATACCCTGTGGCAATGAAGATTCCTCTCCTTGAGCTTTAATGAGCTCTTCTGTTTGAGCTTCAGCTAACTTGGTCTCTGCTTTCTGGGAAAGCTGCCGCACTTCTTGCACCTGTGATTTCACTAGCTGAATGTGGCTGCGGGCTGTCACTGAGGCTTGATCTGCACCTGAAAAGCAGTCATTTAAAAACTTTGGGTTAGAGGAGCAATCAGCAAACCTTCAATTAAGGAAGTGATTCTCTGTAATTAGCCCCTGCTTTGCTTAGTGTTTCAATAGCTCTTGGGCTATCTGAATGTTAAATGTTTACTGTTTGCTTACCTTATACAATAATATGCTGAGTCTGTGATTTTTTTGGCCCCTAAAATTCCTCTCACCAAAGTGGATTTCAGCCAGCGTCTGATCAGAATGGTCAGCAAGTGCTGGGGGTTTGAGAGCTAAGCCCAGCCCACTCATATCAGCTTTCTGTCCTTGACCTGTTTGGGAATGTCTGTGGCACTGCTGAACTCGGAAACCCTTGTCCTCCGGTACTCCTATACACTACCATTTCAGCAGCTTCCTCAGGAAGCCACGCTTGCACAGTTGCACTGCCCTTGCGTATTCATCTGTTTCCTCCCTTTCTCCTCTCCCTGCTCCAATAACTTTGCTATTTGCCACAAGTCAGCCTGTAACTCGGTCTAAGAGCATTCAGATCCCCATGTGTTTTGTGAAAGTTTGTGTAGGGGGAGGAAAGACCAAAATTAGTATTTTCCTGAGTGAAAGGCAAATCTCACTTTTTTAGTAAAGATTCCAGCTGGTGAGACCTGCTGGACCTAGGCAGGGGTCATTAGTTCTACTCCCAGGGCTGTGATTGAACAGTGCATTTAAAAATGACTAACGCTTCTTTCAATCATTTTTTGGCATAGGTAGTCTTAATCAAAACAGCATTTGCTGTTTCCAGGTCCAGCTCTCAGAGCACGAGTACTAGACCTGAAGCCAAAAAAAAGAATACAAGTTCCTGGCACCTCTGAAAACCAGGCACTAGCTCTACATTGGTATGTTAACTGAGCTTACATTTGGTGCCTCTCTCAACTCCATTCTCTCAAACAATAAATACTGCCTAAATGCCGGTGAAAGACTTTATCGGTATTTTTGCTTGTAACTTAGTAAGTGAATTACGTTAATGCTTTTAACTGTGACTTACCTGACTGATATGCAGCTTCTGCTGCCATCTCTGAGAGACGTAATGCGGTCATCCAGCTGGATTCCAGCCTTAGATATTCTTGCTGTTTTGTTGTCATCTGTGAGTAAAAAGTATTATGTAACTTGCAGCAGTATCTGAATGTTCTTTTAAACGATACCTTGTGCAAAGGTAAACAAATGATAAGAGAGATTTCTGAGCAGAGTAAAACAGGCAAATTGATGACTGGAGGGATTTGATTCTTTACCTCTACTCTGGCTCCTATTACCACCTGCCAGACTGCATCCACCTCTTCTGAATTCATTTTCCCAAGAAGATTTGCATATTGCTTGTAGAGAGACACCAGCGTATAAACTGCCTGCAAAGAAATAGTTTGACACAATTATGTGGCA